CTCTGCCTGCCTGAAAATGGGCAATCCTCTCTGCAGAATATCATTAAAGATACATAATCTATCATTGTAATTTATAATTGTATCTAAAATTATTGATATAATGCTACTACATCAAAAGTTGCCAAATAATAATAACAGTAAACTATTGCTTGGCATAACAGACACAAAAACAAAAGAAAAAAAGATGATGGAAATAGGCCTGCAGGTGGTCCAGACACTGGAGTCTTCAGACAGACTTTAAAGTGATTTGATTAGTATGTTCATGAAAGATGGTCATGTAGAGATTGGGGGGGGGGGTGTTAAATATATCTTTATTATTTCAGAATACTACATTGAGCAATGCTATAGAAAATGAGACTGGAGTATCTACAGATACAAACACAGTTAAGGCTCTCAGTACATGTGCTATTTACATACAATCAAATAAAAATTAAAGAACTAAATAGTAGTATAATTGGAATTAAGAAACAAGAATTGAAAGCAGGTTGGACAGAGTTGAAATAGAGAATTAGTGAACTAAAACACAGGCAAATAATGGAGGAATTCTGGATAGGGCAAAGAGGAGGGAGGGGAAAGGAGGGGGAATAGGGGCAGGAAAGATGATGGGATGAGATGGACATCATTATCCTAGGTATCATAGGTATGAAGACATGAATGGTGTGACTCTACTTTGTGTACAACCAGAGAAGTGAAAAACTGTGCTCCATTTGTGTACTATGAATCAAAATGCATTCTGCTGTCTTGTATAACAAATTAGAATAAATAAATTTAAAAAAACAGAGGGGGCTGGGGATATAGATAAGTTGGAAAAATGCTTGTCTAGCATGCACAAGGCCATGGGTTCAATTCTCAGCACCACAAAAATAAAAATAAATAAAACACAGGCAAGCACAACTTATCCAGATGGAACAAGAAGAGAAAAAAATTACAGAAAAAAAAAAAACAGAAGAGACATATAGGACAGGACAGAAAGTATAATACTGATTTAATTGGGAATCATAGAGTAAAGGAGGAAAAAATAGAAGAGAAACAAAATTTTATGAAATGTCAAGATTTTTTTCAAAAGTGATGAGAGTCATATCACTGACTCCAAGAGGTGCCAGAAACCCCAAAAAGAGCAAATACAAAGAAATATATAGGTACATCGTCATAAAGCTTAAGCTAAAACCCAAAGACAAAGTCTTAAAGTTGCACAGTCAAGTCACATACATTCCAAGAAGCAGCAACAAGCCTAACAGCTAATTTCTCAACAAAAAAATTTCCCTCCTCCAGCTCTCCCCCTCACCCCCACAAGATTAAACTCAGGGCTCTGAACATCTTGGGACATATTGGCAATTGCTCTACCCTGAGCTGCATCCCCAGCCTCACACAAAACTTTTGGGGGGAGTTTCTGGAGATTGAACCCAGGGACGCTCTAACACTGAGTTATATCCCCAGCCCTCTTTGAGACAGGGTCTCACTAAGTTGCCCAGGCTGGCCTTTAAACTTGTGATCCTCCTGCCTCAGCGTCTTGAGTAGCTGAGATTACAGGTGTGCACCACCATACTTAGCTCACACAAGAATTTTTTAAGAGAAAGATCTTCCCAAAGTGCACTGATGTTAAAAGCGATTACTTATCAAAGCGGGGTGGGGGGGAGGAAGGAAGGGAGAAAGTCCTCCATATTAAGATATTTTTATACTGCTAGACTTCTCAGAAACTTATCTGACCACAAAACCTCTTAACAAGCAACAATCTCAGAAACCAGCCATTCACAAATACACAATGGGAAATCATGTGATATTTAATTCTATGAATTATCATTTAAATAAATGTATATTAATTCCCAAATTAGGTATAAATTTCAGGAAAAAAGAGTAAAGTATAGGGAAACTCAAGCATACTAAAAAATAAAACGCTATTTCATTACTTTCAAAGTACAAGTGTGCTATCTGTAACTAAACAAGCTTTAACTTTTTTTTTAAAGAGAGAGTGAAAGAGAGTGAGAGAGAGAGAGAGAGAGAGAGAGAATTTTAATATTTATTTTTTAGTATTTGGCAGACACAACATCTTTGTTTGTATGTGGTGCTGAGGATCGAACCCGGGCCGCACGCATGCCAGGCGAGTGCACTACCGCTAGAGCCACATCCCCAGCCCCAAGCTTTAACGTTTTTAAGGTCCAAGTAAGTCTAAAGAGTTAAAATAGGAAATGTTTGTTCTTTCCACCTTTGAGAGAAGGAAGGAAATTCTAAGTCCTAATAAAGAAATAGAGATAGGAATTGTTTTTCACAATTTCTCATGTCTTTACCATTAAATGCAAGTGACTTCAATATAAGAATTCTTTCAAATATCTGATTTCACTACCTTTGTGCAGAAGCAGTAAAGCACCATGGTTAAGACCATCAACTGTGGAGCCACACTGCCTGATTCATATCCTTGTTTTACTGAGATATAAGAACTCAGGCAAGTTTTAACCTCTCAAGGATCAAATGAGTTAAAATACCTAGTATGTTCAGAGTTTATGAAAGGTATATTATAAGCATTTACCATTTTGTCATTGTCATATTATTGTCTCTCTCTCTCTCTCACACACACACACATCCCAAAAACCCAAATTCATAGGGGAAAAAAAAGTTTGCCACTTTGTTGAACAATTTCAACAAATGGCTACACCTAAAATGAGACCTATTTAGGAAGGTCCTTAAGATGACTTCCACTGCCAGTAAAAATAATTGTCCTTAGAGGGAATTTTAGGGCAATGGAGAGTCAAATCCTTTCATCCACTTCCTATCATATAAAGTATACCATTCTTAGTTTCTAACAGAAGTTCAGAACCAAGAGCTTTACAATTTAGGCATGGCACACACCAACAGAGCAGACACAAAAAGCTCAAATTCAAGATCCATAAAACTCAACTAATACTCCTTCAAAGAAAAAAAAGTTCAGATTACTCTTCAATTGTAACAGTTTATTTTTTTTCAGTTAAAATAGTTTACTGCTTTAAAATAAAAACTACACCATATCTACCAACAGAATATCATCAGGATTAAATAAAGCACAGTATATGAGAATATTTTCAAGTTTATATATATATATATATATATATATATATATATATGTGTGTGTGTGTGTGTGTGTGTATTAAATACTATTTCTATCAATATACTTGAGAAAATTATACTGATAGGTTCCTCCAATTTCAAACAGTTGCCTTTTCTAAAACTAGTTTCTGAACACTTCAAATCAAAAGCCAGAATAACAAGACAGAAGTCAGATTAAAGTTGCCATTCACCAAATCATTTGCTGTTTAAAATGTACTCTAAAAATGTCTACACAACAGATAACTTGATAAATTGAGTTATCTGTTATGTAGACATTTTTAGAAAAAAGTTATGTTTAGAAAAGAAGTTATCTGAGACCAGACATTTAAAGGAATGAGATCCTAAAATTATCCTACTTCGAGGCCAGAAAAACATCTTTACTGGTGTTAGATCAAACAATGCCACCCAATCCCCAAATGTCTGAGATCCTAACTTGAATATAGAAAATGCTGATGCAAAAACAAGTTGGCCCAGAAAATCAGAGGTCAAGTACCTATGGACACATTTCAACTTCGGCTGAGGGTTTGAGTGTTTACCTGGCTCACCCTCAAACTGAAAGCTGGGTTCCAGCATCAATCAGGGACACTGCCATGCAGCAGCCACCGATAGGTAACACAGGCCAGATAAGACCACAGGTCACTTGGCATCTTCCACTGAGGCAGATCCTTCTGAATGCCTAACTGCCAACTGTTGACAGGAGGATGGACTGGCAGTCAAGAGAATTACATTCTTCTAGGTACGCCTTCCTTTTGAAATTCTTGACCCACTTGACTAGAGAAATCAAATTAAGGGATATGTGACGAACTTTTGAAATATATAAGTAGAAAACTTTGTATGCTTCACAGATCCCGTCCTTTTATTTGTTTAGTAACGTATTATTAATTACTTGTTTTGTTCAAAAAACCATCTCTGGGCATGTGAGGTGACGGTCCACGGGATATCACCAGCACTTTTCTTCAAGATGTGCAGAGATCTTAAGCCTTACTAGGCCGATTCTCCATCTGCATGTAGAATTAGAGTTAGATCCGCTCCCCCCAAAGATAAGCTAAAGACAGAACTGGTTACGGACAAGAAGGCATCTGCTACAGAAAAATTTGGGGTAGTGATACAAGGGATGTCTTTTTTAACACCTAAATCAGGGCTCCAGACCAAGTGGGTATAAAAAGTCAAATTCATGGAGGTCAGTAAGACAGACTTCTGTGTTTACATTTGAATTCCTGGGCGGCGAAAGTGCTGGGTCTCTACACATTCATCTTCTAATGAGCCTTAACGTGCTGGAATTCTCCTGCAAGATCCCTCCTCCCCACTCCCTCTCTTTTTCAGAACTTCCAGTCTAAAGAGAGACAGAGAGAGAGAGAGACCCTCTGGCCAGTCCTACAACTTCTCCCCGCGCCTGGCGAGGATTCCGAGTCCACAACTTCTCCGCCTCCGGTGACTTCGCCCACTTCTCCTGAGCTAATCACTTTTAGTGACCTCCTCAGGTCTACTCTACGTCCCGGCAGCAAACGACCGAACGGTCCCCGGCCGCCGGCCCAGGACGACTCCGCGCGTCCGGAGCAGTCCACCCGCGGGCCGGCCCCCGAGCGCCCCGGAGTCCAGCCCTGGCCCCGGGCCGCGGCCCCAAGACCTCGGCAGCCTCGACCCCCCAATCTCGGCGCAGCGCCGGGCTCCCGCGTCCCCTGCGCCCGACCCGGACCGCCACACGCCTGGCCGCCACCCCGAGCTCGTTCCCCGGACCCTGGCCTCTTCCGGGGCCGCGGCGGGCAGCGCTCTGGGCGGCTGGACTGAGATTCCGAAGGCCGCGCGTCCCCCTCACAGGCCCCGCCTGGGCCTCTCGCCTTAACTACCCTTCATTGCACCCGTGGCTCAGCCATAGATACGCCCTCGAGCGGGACAGCACCAGCCCAGGGCCTGGCACTTACTCGGGAAGGTAGGTGGAGGAGAAGGAGCTCCACTTGTGTAGCGCGTAGGGCAGAAGCCGGCACTCGGGCGCCGCAGCAACAGCCCCACCAGCCGCCATCTTGTCAGCACCGTAGCGGCCGCCACCGACCGCCGACCGCGCCGGGAGGCTGGGCGGGGGCGGGGCCTGCTCTTAAAGGGGCCGCGGCCCGCGCTGCCTCCTCCGACACCCGAGACCAGAGCGCGCAGGTCAGCGGTCTCATCCTAGGGTTTCCCACACTCCCCGCGCCTTGATGGCTGATCGAAGCTGGTCCTGGGGTGTGAGCCCTTGCGGGGATTTTCGGTTACAGGAGTGACGCAAAGGACTTTTCTTACAAGCAGAGGTAAAGATAAAGCCAAGAATATTATGAAAAGAAAGAAATGGTAGTCATGAACCAGTAAGGTAAAAGGAGAAAACCGGTTTGGAAAAGGGACGCCCTCGCGACTTTGAAAACCACCTCTTTAGCCAGTTTGTAAATCCCTTAAGGAAACAGCACTGAAGAGAATTGGAATGCAATCACTAATGTCTTATGTCTTTTTCCTTCTGGAGTTGTCCTGCGGGGCGTGGGGGCAGGGGGTGAGTCACCGTGTACCCAAGTCAGATGGAGTCAGGTAAAGGAAATGTTAGTCTGCCCTCGTAATCCGTTTTCAGTCTGTGATGCCCTTCACTATAAACAATTCTTGTGAGCCCTCTCCTACTAATCTTGTGCATTGGTTTGCTCAGGAATAAATAACGTTAACCCACAGACCAGGAAAGTCTGGAGTTGGGATGCTGGGTCATCATTTTCCCAGTTGGTAAATCTGTCCACTTTTAATTCGGAAAGAAATTTAGCCCAAAAGTTCAGAGACCGAAAAGTTCAAGAAAGAGACCTTGTCTTCTTAAAGGGAATCACAGCCCTTGTTCTGTGAAAACCATAAGGACACCATCCCAACTTCTTAGCACAAAAGGAACACTTGGTCTAAATATTTGGCAACTTTAGATAATGCTCCTATCAAATACCTGTTTATTAGGATTAGGCATATTTATTCTTTGGCTTAGCTACTACAGTTACCAAAGTCTGTGTTACTAATTGTCTGAGAGGTTGGACTCCTGAAAACCTGGATAGTATATATCATTATCTTCACCTGACGGATGCAGAAATGCAAAGAGTTTTTCCGTGAATATCCAGGTGACTCAATAATTGTATTTTTTCTGTTATTATCATTAACCTGTCCTGTCTTGACTTCCTTTTCCATAGGGAGAAAATTTTAATAGAGGCCTCCGTTAGGATGCCACATCAAAAATGCCAAGTAGAAAGAAAGGTCATATGTATAATAACCTTTTATTTTTTTCCAAGTTGCTGAGCCAGGCCTCAAATTTGCAATCCTCTTGTCTAGGCCTCCCAAGTAGGTGGGTTTACAAGCATGCATCACTGCACCCAGTCACATATATTAACTTTTGATAGTGCATGTGTTCTGTATGTTGCACCATAAGGGATTACTGTAGCCCAGTGACTTTGATTAGGGAACTGCCTGAGAGACAGTGGAAAAGGGCCAGAGGAGTTTGGTGCCAGAGATGATCTGTAATTATCTTTGGGAAAAAGAAAGTGAATGAGATTAAGATGTAGACTCACTCCAATTAATTTGGGGCCCAAATTTTGCCAATGCCACCTCTTACCATAACATTAGGAAGTAAACTCATTATTTTTCATGATATAGAGTTATGGTTCCTGAGCAATCTTTTTTAAATCTATAAAATCTTTAAGTCTCTTCTTTCTCCTTAGCGCTCTTGTGTTTAGCAACACTAAACCAGCATGCTGTATTGTTGCCTGTATGTTCTATGTAATCTCTCCCTCCAGTCCTGGAATATTTCCCACCATTTTTCTAGCTAATTCCTACTCATTAATCAGATTATTTTGTTCTGAAAAATCTATCCTCACTAGGCTTGGTGGCACATTCCTGTAATCCCAGTGACTAGAGAGGCTGAGACAGGAGGATCACGAGTTCAAGGCCAGCCTCAGCAACTTAATGAGACCTTGTCTCAAAATAAAAAATAAAAAGGGCTGGAGATGTGGCTCAGTGATTAAGCACTCCTGGGTTCGATCCCAGGCCTCCATATAAAAATATATATTCCTCATCACCTATTTTGAGATTAGGTACGTTACCATACCATCCTGAGTTCTCCTTCCTTAGCTTAACAAACATGCTTAATTTCTTCTTTAGTTTCCATTCTCCATAAAAGATAACTCTCATGGGTATCCTGTTCACAGCTGTATCTTATATCGCTATGCAGGTAGATAGATACTAAATAAATATTTGTTGAAGAATGAATGAATGTGCCAAAAGAAAACATGAATTAGAGACTTGTGCATTGCCAAGGGAAAAGAATGTCGAAACTTCTCAGGCTGCAGATATGTATCCCTGTGGTATGACTGCCAGCATAGTATAAAGACCCAAGATAGCATGTCTTTCCTACCACAAATTTCATAAATGGTAAAATAATTTAAAACATTCTTATGTCAACCTGAATCCAGAGAGAGGTATTGATACTGAGCTCAAATTTGTATAATCGTAAAGATAAAGTTGAAGACTCAAAAATTGCAAACTCTGTAGAAAGCTGCTAGTAGCTATACCTTGAGATCTCCTAGAGGTACATCTTTCTTCTGTGTTTGCAGCATGACTATATGTGGTGCAGTGTATGGTAATGACACATAGGGAAGGCCTGGGAATCGACAGAAGCTGTATAGTCTCCCTAGTTCCCTTTCACTTCAAAGATGGGGACATATTGATATTCTCACAGAGAACATGAGGATCATCAATGGACCTCATTTTTTTCAGGGATCAACAGAGGTTATGGTAATTCAACGGCTCCAGTAACCCAGATATCTTATCAGCTCCCACAGACCTTCTCAGTAGGCTTCTCATATTAAATACTTCCCAGTGAGAGTAACTGTGTTTGAGTTTTTGCTGTCCACCTTCTTTTGCTGCAAGAAAGACTAATTGGGAACCTGTGATATGCTAGACCCTGTCCTGGATGCTAGGAAGATAGGAGTTCCTTCATGGAGCTTACATTCTGGTGGTGAACATATAATTAATAAACAAACAACATAATTTTATTTTTCATTTTTTAATGCTAAAAAAGAGGATAAACCAGGGTAATTTTTTTTTTAAAGAGAGAAAGAGAATTTTTTTTTTTTTTTTTTTTTTTTTTTTAGTTTTCGGCGGACACAACATCTTTGTTTGCATGTGGTGCTGAGGATCGAACCCAAGCCGCACACATACCAGGCGAGCACACTACTGCTTGAGCCACATCCCCAGCCCAACCAGGGTAATTTTGATCAGATGGTAAAGGAAAGCTTCTCTAGGATGGTAATATATGAGCTAACACCTGTACAATGAAAAAGAGCTAGTTGTATGGTTTAAAAATTTCAGGCAGAGACTAGGACACTGACTGATATAATAACTTATCCAATAGCTCTTCAGGGATAGAGCCAGAATCTCTTTGGTTCAAAAGCTCATTCTGTTTGTTCATATCACTTTTCTTCTCAAATGAGATGATATATGGGAAGAGATTTTATAAACTATAAAGTACTACTCCGCTGTAAGACATTGTCAGATAATAATAATAATAATAATAATAATAACAATGGCCACTAGAATTAAAAAGCAAAACAAACACAGATGAATTTTTTATTTTCAGGCAAAGGAATATACAGTTGGCTGAGGGTAAAGAGTGTTTTTTCATTGTTAAGGAAAGTATCTCATAACTGTTATGCTTCTTAGTCAATTCATATACTGCCATGACAAAATACCTGAGACTGGGTAATTTATAAGGAACAGAAATTTACTTCTCACAGCTCTGGAAACTCACAATTCTAGAGGGTGGCAGTTCAAGATCAGTATGCCAGCAGGTTCAATGTCTGGTGCTGATCCAGTCTCTCTGCTTCCAAGCTGGCTCCTTGTTGTTACATCCTCTGGAGAGGAGGAATGTCGTGTCCTCACATGATGGAAGAGATGGAAAAGAGAAGCCTAGCTAGTACCCTCAAGCCCTTTTATAACAGTGCTCATCCCATTCATGAGGGAAGAGCCCTGATAGCCTAATTATCTCCTAAGATCACCAATTCTTAATACTATTGCATTGGGGAGAAAAAACAAATAATAATATGCTGGAATAAATCCAGAGCTGTGTACATGAATGGGTAAAATAAGACCCATAATTCATTAGTCAGGGAAGAAGATTTTTCAGACCTAAAGATCTTGCTGTAACTCACCAGGATCACTCAAAGTTCATGGCTTCTTTAACAGCCTTCGGTGGTTAGGACAGATGAAGTACAACACAGTATTCAATGTGCAATGGTCAGAGCAAACTCTGCTTTAAACGAAAAAAAAAATGGCCCTTAACAATAGTATTATTCAGTACATGAAGAAACTAGTACCCATATGTTAGCTGTCTTGCCTAAGTCATTATACACTGAGTTGTTTGTAGATCTGAATCTGGAACCCAGGTCCTTAATTCTCCTTTTTTTTTTTTTTTCCTAATGCACCTGATGGGAAATTTGGAGGTCTGTATCTGCATTATTCCTCTTTAAATCCTCTAAGGCTAACACATAGTAGATACTCAAGAAATCTTTCCTGAATTGAATCTCTTAGTATCTCCCGAATTGCTTCTCACTTATTTTTAATTTAAAAAAAAATAAGGGGAGTTTGATTAGGGATCGTCTGTAAATCCGAAGACTAGGCAGAATTAAAGGCATTCGGCTGTTGATCCAATTTTTTGGTCAGTAAATGATGAAAATCACAAGGGAGATTGAAAGACTGAATTTGTTCCATTATAATTCCCACTGAGCATTTTTTACATACCAAGAACTTATACATATTAACTATCTCAACCCTCACAACAGCCTCACAAGTAAACCAAGGCTCTAGGAGGTTTGGATTCACTGAGTTCATGTGTACCCTCTCTTTCATAAAATTCTCAGTTGTATGCATTCCTAACATCATTCAGGATTCAAGGTTCAGAAAGCCAAGAAAGGAATCTGATATATTCCTAAAACTAACAGTTCTGCCTCAATCTTATTTCTGTACTCTCCCCATTCCTATACTAACTCATCAAACTTTGTTATTGTTGTCTGAAATCATTTTTTAAGCATAACATTGCCAAAAAAGGGCA